AGGTCACTGGAAGGGTAAGGGTTATCTGCATTAACCGTCGTACTAATGGAACCAATTTCATTACATCAGTTTTGATTGCATCTTGAATAGAGTTTGGAACTTCTTCCTGTCGCAGTAAATGGCTGTGATAGGTGAGTAGCTGTGCTTCTAATATTTTTTTTTCATACTCTGAGAAATCGTTGGCATACAAATTTACAGCTGCTGACAATGAGGAAATCATTTCCTCGCTGGTTTTTGTTACCATACATTTGGGATCAAGCCCAAGAAGCTTGGAAGCTGATATGCTTGATTTTGTAAACCTTTCTTTAAGCTGCTGTTGTATAGCATCCAGTAATGGTATTGCTAAGGCTCTCTTATAATACTCCTCTGCAGTTGAATATGGCACATTTGCTCTCATGGTTTGTCTCCCTGCTATCCTGGTTACCTTGATGTCTATATCCAATTCTTCCATAATGTTGGATGACCTTTCCCATATTTGCCCAAAATGTACATCAACATTTTCGCACATGTCACTGTATTGCAGCTGAACTTCAGACATAAGGTTGTAAGCAGAAAGGATATCCTCCTCTCTTCCCTGCAGCTTTTCTGTTGGTATAGTCATAGGATCCATTATTGTCACAAATGTAACTAACCCAATAATAAAACTGGGAGTAATTAGAGAGTTCAACAGGACCCCTGCTTTAGATGTCGTATTTGCATCATTTGGTACTGCCCATGATGCATCATACTTCCGAAAACCACAGAAGGTTTGTAAAGTGCGAATAATAACAATTAGAACCTGGAGAAACCTTGACCAAGCTGTAATTCTCTGAGCCCATCTAGTCATACACAGGCCGAGAAGTGCCTTTTCTCTCTTAATTTCAGGCATCAAATCCTAAAAAATAAAATAATTCCTAATAATTTTCAGAGTTTTATGAATAGTGAAAAGAATTGTCTACAATTAACTGCTACAAGCCTACAATGTCATACTTATAATAAATATTTGAACTAATTTGAAATGAAATCTGAAAAAGAGGCCTCCTTATGGACCCCCCAGTGATACTTTGTATATTGTATACCTTCAGCATCTTGTTTAGAAAAGTCTCTCTCTTAGGGCTCTGGAGAAAGAAGTTAATTGTATCCGACACTGTGGATAGCAGGGTTCCAAAATTAGCATCCTTCACACTACCTAATCAAGAAAATAAATTATATATAAATAAGTTTTATTGTAAGACACACTGTACATTGCACAATGTACAATTGTACAGTGTACAAATTAAAATGTACACTGTACATTTAGTAGAAAAAAGCATAAAACTTCAATAACATTCAATTGTTCAATTGTTTTGATATTTATTAAAAATGTGCACGACAGTCATCTTATAATTATCAAAAATAAACTTTTATTTTTTGTAGAAAAATGTATTTATTTGCCTTGACTGAGTGTTTTCCTCGTCAACTAAATGAATTGGTGGATTCTAAAAAAATTGGAAAAGACAGATTGATACATTTTTCCTTTGTAAATGTTGTCTTTGAATATTAAAATGATACTCATAGTATTTGAAATTGAAAATAATTGTATTATTTAAAGGCAGTATTCAAAATGGAATAAACTTGGTATGGGATGTAATTACAGACCTATGAAGGTAACCAGCCAGAAAAAAAAGTTATACCATTGTAAGACTCTGCCTTTAAGTGACTTACCCAATATTGTCAAGGACAAATTATGGGATCTGCAGTGTACGAAGGTTGCATCAGGGCTGACATCCAGTATCCGTTTAGCAAGCCCACTCACATGGCCAGACATGTTAGATGCGCCATCATATCCCTGACCTCGGCAATCCTCTGAACATAATGTGAGGATTGTTAGTTGCAAGACGTTTCTCATTATAAACTAAAAATATATACAGTGCTCAATATATATTTTGCAAGAAGGAAAGTTATCTTAATATCTTTATATATATATATAAAGTTTTAATCTCTGTTTGTTTGTTTGGATGTCCGATCATAACTCAGGAACCCCTAGACCGATTAGCCTCAAATTTTGATGAGGGAACTTGAGAAAACCACCGGAAATATTCTTAGCTTAATTTGAAGATTCAAAGTTAAGTGGGTTGACTCTTTAAGAAAAACTACAGGCAACACAGGGTTTTCAAGCTAGTATATTTATATATTCATATATAAAACTGGGGATTCAATATTTTAGAAAAATATATTTTTTTTATTCAATATTATTACCTATAGGGAGATTGAACTCCTGAAGCATTTCTGTGATTGTTTTGAACAGAGTGGCACTGTCTATCCCGTCCACTTGCATGTAGTCAAGAAATTTCTCCTGTACACTGTAATCCTAAATATAATTCTGAATATAATCATTGTTATCAAAGATGACAAACTGTATGATACTGAACAAAAAGACAGCAGTTTTGGATTGATAAATAAACAGGAGGTATAAAATCTATCAATACTCAAATACTCATAAAATGTTTAATTATAATTCAATATCTGTAATATTTTTTGCTTTTGAAATTAAATATGTATCAAATATAGTCAAATAAAAAAGCAACATTTTTTGTTGATAACATAAAATCAAACAATTTTTTTTAGTTACAAGAAAATGCCTTAAAAAGAAGGGGTGGGCGAGGGTGTATTCTATGCTGTCCCATATAAATGCCTCATAATTTACAGTTTCAACAACCTACCTTTACGTTTACATAACGAATGCAGATTGAAAGATATTGGTTGTTATAAGCTGTTGCTTCATCTGCTATGATGGAGTAGAATTTAGCTGATTTAATCTCATCCAGAATAGATTTTAGGACAAAGTCTTCACCTTTATTCAAGCAATAATTTACTTTATCATAAAGTAGTTCATGTTTTCAGCCCCCTCCCCTCCCCCAACAAAAGAAAAAAATTAGCTTAAACTTTAATTTGTTATATTGCTATTCCTATTATTTTTATCAAGCTATTCTGAATTTTCCAGGAGAACATTGTTATTGATCCCTTTTTTTCAGCTTGTTTTAGAAGCATTCCTCTGACCTCAGGAGAATAAAGGGACACCAGCTTAATTAAAGAATTAAAATTTCCTTTATTTCCATCCTCATGTTCCCTGTGCCCTCGAAAAGCAAGACCTTGTGTACCCAGTTTCTTTACAACTTCCACACTCGCTTTCAATGCTGCAGAATTGAATTTTCTGTTTTCATCTGCAGCTGTTTTGTACATTCTGCTTATCTTAGTTCCCTGTTGGAGAGAGCAGATGAATTCAAATTTTCCCTTGCTTGAGATACTGTGTTGATCTGAATCCAAGTGCTGCTTTATTTTTTCCGAATTTTTCCAGTCATTGAATCCTTTTTTGGTGAACAAGGTCTGGTTATACCTGGAAGAATTTGATGGGAAAAAAGCGCACACTAAGCAGAAAATGCTATCTTTTTCTATACTGTAATGCAGATCCTCAGCTGCTGGAAGATGTTTGGTCATCAGATTATTGGAGCATGCCCGGTAGCGGGTGTTGGTACCTGATTTAGTTTTCTGAGTATATGCCTTTCTTGGATATACAAATGATAACGGAGGGAGTTTATTTTCTTCCAGTATTTCTGCTTTTTGTTTTTCAGACAGTTCTGTGGTTTTTCCTTCTGCAAGTATTTTGCCCAAGTCCATAAATCCACTTGTCATGTAAGAATCTGGGGAGATATCTGAGGTCTGAAATATTAAGTTGATTTTCTACTTTGCTTCAAAACACACAGCGCACAATCTACTGAGATTTTCAGAAATTAAGCTAAAATATAACCTTTAGTTTTTTGCAGGAAGATTCTCCATCATCATTCTCTAGGTCAACAGTATCAATTCTTTCCGGTTCATTAACCTTCTCTTTGTCACCACCCTTCTTTCCATCATCTTCCATCCCTTCACCATCACCCCACTCTTCATCATTCCCTTCCGCACCTTTGTCACCATCCCTCCTCTTATATCCAATTTTCCCTTCTTTTCTGTACTAGTTTATGGATCTAAATTGTAATTTTCAAGACATCACTAATCAGAAAATTTAAAAAGAGTGAATCATTTCAAAATATTCCATACAGCAAAACTGTATGCTGAAAATACTACGTTTTCGAATATTATGTGATTAATGTGAGTATTTTGGCGTTAAAGCTTATTGATAATCTATAAAACTATAAAAATATAAGCACTGTAGTCTGTAGTGTACACTCTTGGAAAATTGTCAACCTGTTCTGATCTACGGCACTAGTTAGGCTCGGAGACGAAGGGGGTCTGTGTGTGTGTATATGGTGTATTAAGTGCTATATCGATTGAACTATATGCTCAATAAACTAACGTTCAATTATCTTTTTTTTATTTTATGATAAGATAAGAGCTCTTAAATTTGCTCAGGGTCAGGATT